ACTAGTATTTTTTTAATTAAGTATATATGCGAGGTAGAATGAAATTGGTTAAAAATTGAGAAAAATATTTTAAATTAGTGTAATAAAATGTGTAAGTTGGTAATGAGTTAGGAGTATGTTACTCGATGCGCTGACCGGAACAACCCGTAACCCGATCCGCCCGACCCAAAACCCGTTGAACCCGAACCCTGAGGTGCCCGCAACCCGATCTGAACCCGAACCCGATGAACCCGCAACCCGACTAACCCGCAACCGTTTGAACCCGAACCCGATGAACCCGAACCCGATACACCCGCAACCCGATGAACCCGAAACCCGATTAACCCGCAACCCGATTGAACCCAGCCCGAACCCGCCCGATTGACACCTATAGTTATGAGGCGAGTGCATTGAATGCCACCCCAAAAAAATGGGTGCAGCGAATACGCCACCATAACTTATAACTCATTCAAATAGTCAACATTGACCATTATGTAAGTTAAATTTAAATGTAACAAAAAAATAACCGTGAGGAACGATGAAATGAGAATACATAATTAGTGATCATTGATGCAATTAAAATTTTCTACTAATAAAAACGAAAAACAAAATAGTAAAGTTAGCGACCAAATGTGTCATTAAATGGATCAAAGCCTGTCTGTCATCTGCATTCTTTAGTGTGAGTATAAATGGGGGATTGTGTGGATTCTTTCCAGCTTGTAAAGAGGTGAGGTAAGGATACCCACTGTCACCATACCTATACCACACAAAATTAATATGTTTTCGACAATTATTAGATTGCATCCCTTGATTAGTGCTCAATCTCAGCAACCATTTAAGGAAGCTTCGGTATGTAGTTCAAATTATTTTCCGCTTTCCTCTAACGGCTAGTTGTGTCCTGACACTATATATTCTCCTATACTTGTCTTGTTTCAAGCACTTTGTAGAAGCTAGAGTAGTAGAGGGCTTAGCTTAAGAGTTATAATGGGTTGACGAAAAGTTGAGGAAAAGGTTCAAGCTTCGTCAAGGCTGAGACAGATAAGATTGTGATCTGGGTTTTTCATTCTTTCATTCTCGCTTTCTTTCTGCACCTTTTGTATTTTGGTCTTGTTTTACTTTCTCTAAACAAAAATTAAACAAGGATCTCCCAGAGTGTATTCTGGGACGTGGAAGTACACCATTGCACTTGGGCGAACCACGTTAAAAACGTCATGTCTTATTTACGTTTTCTGCATTTACATTCTGCTATGTTCTTCCCCTGTTCTTGACAGAACTCTGTTCTCAGTCCTTCGTTTGATCGAAACAGAGGTTCTGTTCGGGCTCCAGCTTCAGTTAAGACTGTGGGTATTTGGGCTGATGCCCTTCGAAGCCCGTCAGTCCAATCTAGGCCCAACTTACTTCCCCGACCCGGTCACTGAGTTTGATCTGTACAAACTCGATTTCGAGACCGTCTTGTTTCATTCCACCCATTTCATTTCTCTATCGTCTTTTTCCTCTGGTTTCTAACCTAATTTCCTAATCGACTCTGAATCTTCATAAAATTCTTTATTCCCATTGCAACAAAGACAAATTACATAAATCAAAATATGAAATGAAACGACATGGCCTAACAACAATTGATGCTAGAAAACATTTAGTGCACTACTGCATATATATTGCTTTTATTAGAATCCCAATATCAAAGCCAACCGAGACTTCAAAACGAACTACTTAGCTATAACTTTCAACACATGAAATGGAAAACTAAAGGCTGTGTTGGAAATAAGGTAGGTTGTCATGGTAATAATATTAAGGGGGGGCACATATATGGAAGTATAAGTTGTGATGATATGTGAAATAGTAGTAGTATCTTTAATTAAGGGCACTTGTAAGGAACGCCATGGTAGAGAGTAGCGGTCCAGTTCTTGCACTGCTCAGCGTTGGAGCCGATGGGACCGGTTGGAACGCACTTGCAGCTCATGCAGCACCTGGTGCATATCTTCTGGCAGAACCTCTTGGCTGACGGGTGAGTCTTGCACCTGTCCTGGCACTTGGCCACACAATCTGCACCCACACCATTTGTCAATATTTAGATAACCCACAAGAGTCTTTTTTACGACCAAATTAGGGGCATTGGTAGTAAGAGCTGTAAGACGACGTACAGTTTCCAGATACGGGTGCCATTGGGGCATGCGCTACCGGAGTCGGTGTGACCGGAGCATGGGTCGGAGCGACAGTCGCCGAGCTGTTGTGGGAGCAACAGCTGAAACCTGCAAACATAAAAAAAAGGAGTAGATGTGGTTGAGAAGAAAGGAAGACATTAATGGCGCTCAAGATGCGATTAGTGAATATATCATGCATGCAAGCACACGAATCGAGGAGAGCAAAGAACTGGTCTTCGTACATAGGAATCGAGGAGAGCAAAGAATAAGAGGAAGCAGGCAGCCTTGATGAGAGCCATATCGATCGATCTACTAATGATATCTGCTTCACTAGCTGCTGCTGCTGCTTTTACTTTGTTGAGTGAGTGATGAATGATGGGCAAGGAGGAAGGTATTTATAGGCGTTGTGGGAGATTGATCCAGAGAGACTAGTCTAGTCTAGGCGCGGATTCTCAAGCAAAAGAAACCCTAAATTGCAGCAAGATTGCAAGTTGGCATTAATGCTGATTATTTTAATTACTTAGAGAACCGTGAGGGTTGCAGCTTCGTGGCCGGAATTGGTGATCCGAGGTCTGGTCTTAATTGTGGCTATTAGTATAATTAATCTGCCTTGCTTTGCTCGATGCTCAATTTTTTACGTAACCTTCTGTCAAGCTACTTGCTCTTCTGCCTAGGGGAGAGAGGCCCTTGTATATACAATAACGATTTTCCTTAAAGAGTACGTAATCTGCTTTTACATTTGCAATTTGCATTCGAAAGAATAGTACTATTTGAATGTGTTGACACTTAGTTTGGCAAAGAATATGAACTTCAAAGTTTAGAGTAACATAACCAAATATATTAAAAATTAGCAGACCAAAAAATTCAATACTACCAATCTAATCTTAATAATATGGGTACACAAAACAAATATTTTTAAACCACAAACAACAATTTTGCTCGATCCGGTACGTGTTTATAACTGTCCCGAAGAAAACTATAAAATAACTGTAATAGATTGGTACCGAGGTCATTTTTTTATCTCCTCTCAACAACTCTAGTTATTATTAAAACTAATTGGTTCTTCACAAAGAAGTACTAGAGCCTCATGCATGTTCTAAGAACCTCCAATATTAATTGTTGATTTTTAGTTTATGATATATGGTGTGAGCTTAATTTTATTTGAGCGGGTCCTCAAAATGTAATATTCATCAGTAATCGAGTCACATAATTCATATCTGTCTTCTCTTTTCGTTAATTTCTTAACTTGCAAGTTACTTTCTTACAAGTAGCTAACATGTATAAAATTTCAATTTCGAAACTTTCTCATCAAATGGCTCAAGACCGGACAATCACAAGTGAAAAGACCCCTGCAACGTCTGTTATTGTAGTGATGATGAGCTTCCAGGAAGCTAACCTGCAAAACCCTAATAAGCAATGAACTCATAATCTGGGGAAGGTACAGCCAATTATTATATTCTTAATTAGCTACGGGAACGAGGCTATAGCGTGCGTGGCAGGGCAGTCAATCCGCCACTTTTGGCTGCTTTGTTTGTGGGGTGTTCATATGCTAGGAATAGGATGGATAGGCAGCGGTGGTTTGACTTCTCAGAAGTTGATCACACTCCAATATCTATATATTTCATCCATTGCATAGTTTCCAACCATGTCAAACGCCACCCACTGCTTCGTCCAATCAATATATCGCACATGAAAATCTTCGAGCACCACCAGTCTAGTCTTGGCGGTCAACTTGCTAGATTCCTTCCTTTTGTTGACTGCAGGCCATCTAAGTAAATACTATAATGTGATCTCAGATATGATCTCAGCTGAATGTTGATGCTGTGAGAGGGTGCGGGAACATCTAATTAAGTAGTAACCAGCTGGCCGCTTCTCCCAAGGCCTCTCATCAAAGTTGGTGACACAGTGACACACATCTCAAAAATGGCTAATCAAAGCCATTTGAGCTCTTGGAAGATTAACGAAGAGCCCATGGAAGGATCCAATATTCAAAGATCAAAGCCATGGGGGAACCATGTAAATGCCCAAAGGCCCATACCCGACATTGTGCTTACGGCCCAATCCCAAACTCGTAGTCATACTTGCTTCCAACTTCTAAGGGCGTGATTTGGAGTTCACAACTTCACATAGAAAATAACTCCCTTTACGTTCTACTCGTTTCCAAATGAGACGATTCTTGAACTAGCTTGTTTGTAAAAAAAACGAAAAAAACAAGTTGCAGCTTTGTCATTCTCAACTAGTCGTACATTTGAATTGGCTTGACTCGGTGAGCTCAAATCTCAAATTTATTTGATAAAATACGCAGATGGTTGAAATTGTTCTAAGATTATGATATGATTATTTTCTTCAACAAATAAAAAATTTCAAGGCGAGCTCATCAAATTAAATGCAAGCTCTCTTTGTAAGTATTATTTATTGTGTGTAGCAGAATTAAAGTCGAGTTGAACCATTTTCATTATGTTCATCAGACCCAATCCAACCTGTCATAACTTGATTCAACAGTGTTGTTGACAATTAATAAACGCATTGAGTTCAAATCAAGTAAAAAATCGATTCGATTTTGCCCGACTATAGTCCTAATATGAATATCAAAGTAAAAAATCAATAGAAAATGATATAAAAGTTGTTACGTTTTGTTACTATCTAGTCTACAATCTTAACTGATACAACGGACTAATATGGTCACACAAATACAACCGGACTAATATTTATTTCTCAAATACTGGGATAGGGGGAATGTAACTGAACACGACCCTCAACTGCAACGACGACAAAGTAGCGAGCCTGAGATGCCTGGTGGCCCTAAAGCTGCCGTCCACCGCACAAGGCACCGCCACCCGCTCTTTCCTCCCCGTCTTCCCATTATAAAACTCCACATGGTCAAAACCCGTCGTCGTAGTACGCCACCATCGTTGACCCTCCGTCCGGGTCGCTCGTCCGCACGTACCACCAGTCGCACGTGTCGAACTTCCCTCCCTTCGCCGCCTCCCACCCCACCTTAAACTCCGGCGCCGGCCCCACCAACCCTTCATCACCATCATCAATCACCACAAAATCATCCACCGCCTTCCCGTCCAACGACGGAACCCGCAGCTTCCCGCTATCCCCACCCCGGGCAAACGTCGCCGAAGGAAGCGGCCGGCGCCTCCTCTCAATGGCTCCGACGTCGGCGACGGCGAGCTGGGACGGCTGCGCCGCGCCCCAGTAGTGCTTCCGGTAGTAGTCGAGCTCGCCCCTCGTGACCACGAGCTGGACCTCCGCATCGTCCACGTGGCGGGTCAACGTTTCCAGCTCGGCGTCCTTGTCAGCGATTTGACCGGCGTAGTCGACTGCCACGTTGCCGTAGACGATGTCGCGTGGGTTCCACACGGTGGTTGTTGTAACGTTTTCCCCCTGCCACGTGGCGGGACCAGAGGAACAGATCCTGGAGGCGGAAGTAGTGGAATCCGAGGATTGGGTTGACGTAGCTGGTGACGTCGAGGAAGCAGAGGCCTTCGACGTTGACCAAGAGGTGCGACTGGGTGAGATCCTCGGCGAGGTTTCTGAGCGGCCGGCCTTTGATCATTTTGTCGAACACCTTGAGGGAATCGTAGGTTCTGGCCAGGGGTCCGGCGGAGGCCACGAGGTTCCAGTCGTCGGATGTGACGGTGGATGTGTCGGTACTAATGGCGGCGTTTTCGTCGTCGGCGGTGGTTAGGGAGTAGATGTCGATGGTGGCGTTGTCGGACGAGGAGATGAAGAGGTTTCGGGACTTCAATTCGAAGGGAGTCATTCTCATTTTGCTGGTTTGATTCTGAAGAAAAATTGATGAGATATTAGTTAGGATTGTGGGTTCATTTCAATGCTTATATACATTTCAGAATTACGCGGATGCTTTTTTGGGTGGGGGAATATAAAGATAGTGGGGACTTAATTGGATGAGATAGAAAGTATAAGGACTAACCAAACTGCAAATGTGCAAATGGAAAAAATTTCTGCTTGTTCAAACTGTCCTTGACTGTATATCTGGTCAAACTTTTAAACTTCTACAGCAATATTCTTGATGTTCTAGAAGACAATATAATTGATGATGTACATAGTCTTTAATTATTTGGATTACTGACTATGATTACTCATTGAGAATAGAAGAAATTCCTAGGGAAGACAGAGAAACAAATAAGGACGAAATTTTTATTATCGTGTTGAACTTTTGCTTATCCATAACAATAAGTCAAGAGGAATACAAAGAACATTTAGCATTCACCCAACCAGCTAAATCAACATAATCGTTAAGTTGAGGACTTATCTTGTCAGTTTATGGATTTTTGGATTCGCGATCAACCATAGTTAGTAAAATACGGTATGAGAAAGTTACGTATTTTACTTCATCTATAAATTAATGTTACTTTTAATATTACGTTAATAGTCATAAATATATAAAATTAGTTATTTTTTAATAATAAATAAATATATAAAACATAGTAAAGTTAATAATTTAATTCATTAAATACGAATATTAAACATGTTATACGGGTTTTATACGTGTTTAGTACGGTAGCCATTAAATGAAAAGAAACAAATGGAACGACTTGACAATATAATACGGATACGAAAGTTTTAAATAGATAAAGTACGTGCAGGTACATATACGTGTAACAAAACGAAGTATTTACTAACTATGCTATAAACTGCAATCAACTTAATAATACACAAGAGTTACATTTTGGCATCCTTCAATTAGCAAAACAAAACGCAATTAGCTTTTATTTTTTGAGTTTTAGGATTTTTTTCGTATCAATTCATATGTTTTTCAATTTGCAACCTTAGAAACTACAACCGGCTTCCACACTCCCGCCAAGGGGGGAAAAATCGACGGAAGACGTACAATCACAAAGCATGGAACCAGACTTACTAACAATAGTTAGCATCATTGCTAGAAAACAAGTCCATATGCTATATTCTACCAAGTGATCACAAGACACCCCGAGTAGCAATTGGCGTGACACAAAGCTAACCAAAATACATTGCACACGAAAAGACAACTCATGGACAAAACAAGAAAAACTCGATCAATCCGAACATATATATGAATCATAGATACTTCGTCCACGAACAAATGACAGTCATAGCTAGCAAATCGAATCTGAATGTGTTCGTCAGCTAGCCCTAATGACACATACCTGCAAAATGAGCCAATGTGCTCACGGAAAAAAACTCGTTTGTTACTCGATTTGTTTAATAAAGAGTCGAGTTTGAGTTAAACATTGTACAACTCGCGAGGTAGCTCGATTCAATGACTTGTCAAGCCCAACTCATGAGCTAGCTTGTTTTGAACTATGAGCTGGCTCAACAGTGTAGCATCGAGCCACCTCTACAACGACATATGAGTCAATCGATTAATAGCTTATGAGTTCGCTTGTTGATAATTACTTAGTTTGTTAAATTATATATCTCATCACATTTGATGTTTAAAACTTTGAGTACATTAACATATATACCTCATGTATAATATAAAAGAGAAATTATGTACCATAGATTGTTTATTTACTAGTTACTAGTAAATAACATGATCTGAACAATGAAAATTTATGGGCTAGATAATATGGTGTCTAAGCTTGAGCATATTTCGTGAGGTGTTTAATAAAACACATCTCGAGTTGGGCTCGTGACTCGTGAGCTCATTAATGAACCTTGTTCAAGTCAAACATGAGCAAAGAGTTAAAAGGTCAACCTTTTTATTAACCAACTAACTCCAAATTATATTAAAACTCAGCTCGATTCGACTAAAGTAAGCGAGCCAAAATCCTAACAACCTAAACATATTTGATGGCGATTTAATCCCTAAAGTTTAAAGCGTTTTATTACTACACTTTCTCGCCGGCCTAGCAATCAAGCAAATGTACGTACCATTAACAAATAACAACGGCGCCTTCGATCGATCACACGGAGAAGAAGAGAAGAGAAGTCCGTGTTTTTTTGGTCAACCTCTGACAATTCTCCAATTGGCGTACGTGTACGGAAATCATATATCAGCCCACCAATCAGTAATTGCTCATTTCTTCATTCGTCATTTCATCACAATTACATACTAATTTCGTATTAATTATAAGATTAAATCATGCATTATTAGTTTATTACCATTACATCACCTCCGCGTCAGTTGACAAATTGATATAATGCGGTCAAGACTCACGATCACGTAGCTGATCCGTGTGTAGGTTGACCTTTTTCCCCGGAGGTCTAAAGTCGTCGATCCGATACGTCCTTTCCAAAAGATTCTGACAAAGATTATTTCAATCCAAATCCCCTAATAAAACCCAGAGATATAAGATTCACGGCAGAAAGAAACTCAAAATCGGATTGTGATCATGGCGCCTTTCGAGTTCAATTCCACTACCCATTTCCTCGCTTCATACGACTCCACCACGATCGACGTCTACGAGCTGATGATTTCGTCAACGAGCTCACCGCCGTCAGCGGTCAGAGCCACCGACTGCAAGCTCGTCACAATTATCGCGACCTGTAGCCGCGACCAGCTGGAGGAGAATCAATACGACGCCCTGAAGCTGTTCGACGAGGAGATCGCGGGACGGGACCTGAGGAATCTGGCGGAAGACCTCTCCCAGTCGCATTTCTACGTCAACCCACTTGGCAACACCTTCATAGACGTATCCGGCGGCGGCGGAGGATTCGTCGACCCGGCGTTTGGGGTACAGTTCTTCAGATTAAACGACACCTTCAACTGGTCTCAATACGGCGCCGTTAGACCCCCTCCGCCGTCTTCAGTCGCCAATCTGTGGGACACCCGCCACGGATTCCCCTGCCGCAGCGGCGAGAAGAGCGAGGCGATCGTCGATTACAAAAAGCAATTGAAGGAGAAGGACGAGAAATTGGGGGAATTGAAGACTCAATTGAAATCCAATACCATAGATCTGGAATCGGCGAAGAGGGATCTGGAGAAGTACCAAAAGTGGTGCTACGATTTCAGGTACAGGTACCGCGACACGATCTCGGCTTCCGAGGCGCCGGCGAAGATCCGGCGGAGGCGGGTGAAGGCAGGGCCGGCCTAGAGGGTGTGCTGGCCCGCCCTCCGGCACAGGGCCTCTGAATATTAGGGGCCTCCACTTAGATCCGTTAGTTATCGATCGTACATTGTAGATTGTATTTTGAGTATATGATTGATTTATTATGAGTATGATGACGATTTTAATAGATAATTTTAGCTATAATAACAATTAAAAATGATATCATGAAGACTACGAAAATAAGAAAGATAATAGATAATTTTATGGGTAACGTCTATTTTTTATCCAGACCTTTTTCAGATTGTTTTATAATATCCAAACCTATCGAAATACTAAAAATTAGCCGAATGTTAACTTTCGGTTAGCATTTTTGTTAGTAATATTGACTTGACAACATGATACGGACTTGGAAGAGACACATGAAGGTCAAGATTCCAAAATTTTAGTATTTTAACTAAGAAAAGAGTTACAGAATTGTTAACAATAACATAAAAATGACTAATATTTTGGTGCATTATGAAAGATTTGGCTAATTAATAAATTTTTAATAGGTTTGGATAATATAAAAGAATCTGAAAAAGGTTTGGATAAAAAATAGACATTACCCTAATTTTATTTTAAACTATGTAGAAAGATATTACAGTCATTTTAGTTTTATTATAGTTAAAAGTCAATTTAGACCACGTCTCAATTTTGGAACAAGGCCCCCACGAAGCATTAGACAGCCCTGGGAATTTGGTTTTGGTTTCTTCGTCAAACTAGAAACGTGATCATTTATTTCTTTTGTAATCATTTTCTGAGACTATGTATTTTTTTATAATTATTTAATAATTTTTATTTTTAATAAATTTGTGGAGAAAAATTTTAGGGCCACATTTTAATTTTCGAACAGGGCCTCCGAATATCATGGAACGGCCCTGGGTGAAGGTTGCGAGGTCGACATTCGTGCAGCTATCGCCGCCGGCGGTGCCGATCAGTCCAGTGCGGTGTTGGGTGCCGTCGTTTAAGGAGGAGGCGATCGATGCGTTCTGGCTGTTGGACGAGGATTGCGGCGGACTTCCCCCGCCGCCGACGGTCCAGGTGTGGAACGCCGACGGGAAGTTTGATGCTGAGAATTGGTGGTGTATTAAGGCGAATCGGAGGATGCAAGGTGGTGGGGAGACGACGATGCTGGTGTATTACGACGGCGATTTCGATTATGCGGTGATTGATAATCCGATGACGTCGAGAAAGGAGCGGGTTTCGGTGCCGTATAAGGTGAAGAACGGGGAGTTCGCGGCGGATCGGAATTTCAGCCTCGGGTATTTTCCTTTCACTTGGGAGGTCAGGGTTGTGTTTACTTACCGCTGGTAAAAAGATTAATGTGCATTCCTCTTTTCTAAACAGTTGAATTACCGTTTCATCAAAATATACCTATTATTAACTTTCTCGGTACAACTTTCAACACGATTTTACAATCATTAGAACAGCTAAATTGTTCTTTCCTACGCCATCACTGCCCTGTTTGTGTCCATAATTGTACCATATTCAACAAGGAAATTGACCATGATAAAGGTCTTGATGATTAATGATTATTACTCATGTCACTTTGATAAACACACATGATGATTAAGTAGTAGTGTTCCTTACACAGACACGAGCCATGATCACTACCTGATCACAGTCATCGACTCTCTAACATAAGAAAAAACGACCAAACAAACCTATCCTGAATAAACAGGACAGTATGTGACCAACTGTCACAAAGGCAATCAGTATTTCTAAGTTCTTAATTTATTGTTTCCCTAAACCACACAGCAACAAAGTCTTCCACCAGATCATATCATTGATCATCATGTCACAACAGCACTTAAAAGCCTCGCTCTAGCTACCAAAAAAAAGAAAGGAACTTCCTAGGCGCCGGAGCCGGAGCAAGGCCGTGGTGATGATGACGATGATGGTGCTTAGACTCCTGTGGAGCTGGTGCCATCTCTGGAGCGTGGACATGGTGGTGGTGATGGTGTTCAGCCTTCTCCTCTGGCGCATGGTGATGATGGCGATGGTGGTGGTGTTCTTCGGACTTGTGTGGAGGAAGAACATGGTGATGGTGATGATGTTCATGAGATGAGGGAGCCATCGCCATTGGCGCGTGAGCAGGAGCTGGAAGGACCTTGGATGGAGCGTGAGTCTTGGACTTGTGATGAACACTTGCTGCAGCCTACATTACATCACAAGTTCACAACTCAAAACTAAGTTAGCTTTTACCTTGTTAAGATAATGCATCTCTGTATTAATGTTCTAATGAAGAAGTAAAGAGCCTAGCTAGTACCAGTAGCTATATATATACCTGGGAGGAAGTGGCAGATAGGAAGCAAGCCAACAAGAAGAAGAGCATCATTGCAGCTGCCTTGGAAGCCATTGCTCTGTTAAATTTGCTGCTTAATCTTGTGCTTGTTTGGTGTCACGTTTGTGCTGTGTGAGGATGTATTATATAGTAGAGAATGTTAGGCATGTAGGTTAGTCCAGTTGATGTGTGTACGTACTTAACTTAGTTGATCAAGTTTGACTTGCTAACGCTAATCCCACCACAATCCTCTGCTGTAATTGTGGCTCTAATTACCTTCGTTTTCACTTTGCACTGTGTGTTGAATTAACGTATTAGTGCTGTTTGAACAAGCTGCCAACCTAACTAATTGCTCCCCTGTTTTAACTTTCTTTGGGAAGAACTGTTTAACCTTGTTTGTTGTTTACCATGAAACAGTAATATGAAGACGTGGTAAAGTTTTCTCAACCCTTTCTCTGTTTCAAGCATGTGGGAATCTGAGAAAATATAAGAATACCACTTTATATACCAAGTGTTGTAACAACCATCCGGAAATCCATAACGGAAGAATGGAAGAAAATAAAAAGATATACAGATTCATGTGATTTATTAACACAATGTGTATTAGTTAATCCACGAACATTAGAAGATATATATCACACATTCTTCATAATGTCTAACTTTTTTTTGGTAAAAATAATGTCTAACTTTAATCCAACCTGAAGAAGAAAAAAGATTACAGACGAGTCCCAAAACATTAAAAGTAAAACATATGTCTTATACTGGTAATTTGACTTCGAATCGACGATAGATAGTGATAATATAATCTTACGATATAGCAACTTGGAGGTTGAAGTGTGTCGTAAACCCACTAGTCCCAATAACTCGTGTTGATGGAAGTCCACGTATGAAATGATACTTAATCACTTGCTTACACGTCCCTCAAAACGAATGTCAACTCATTGGTTTGAAGTTTACACATACATAGCTCTATACCATGTGCTTCAAATCCTGTCTCCGCAACAGTTTTTTACATTTTAATTACAAAAAATAGGATTTTCAAACGACTAATCCAGTAATTAAGATAATGATTAATATTGGGAGTCGAGAGGACTTGACATGTAATAATAACAACAAACAATCTCTCACTAAGTTTTTTTTACATTATAATACTTAACTACTTCTTTCCCAAGTTTATACTGATTGATATAAACCCAATTAGTGAACCGATTTTCTTTGCTTCAGGTGGGAACCCAATTAACAACTTAGTCAAGGTTAGCTGAAAGAGAAGACCTTGAAATTGATTTGAGAGAAAAAAGGGTCGGGTTTATATTGTACAGAGCATACAGACATACAGTCAATTAAGCAAACAGGAATAAACTAATAGCGCGCTATCCGATGGTGCTGAAATCTGAATGCATCCAGGCCCGAGCATAAAGAATAAAAACAGCAAGGCCCAATGCTCAGAAAGATTGCATAAATAAATCCTCCATCTAAGCGGACCTCCTCATAACGGCCCACAAAGAGCCAAGAAAGAAAGAAGATCATATCTGCATATGCTTTGACCTTGAAGGCATTGCTGTTTATTTTTTTATTCTTTTTTTTTTTTAAGAAAAAGGCATTGCTGTTTATTATGGTCACCTAAAAGTAAGAAAATGTTCCATAAAAAAAAAAGTAAGAAATGGGTTGCGGATAATTTCAGTCACGGTGAATTTATGCTCGTGATCTGTGTCACACTTGTGCCACAAAAACAGGTTAATTACCAGATTACTATGTTCGGCATTATACATGTAACATTAAGATCTAGCGACCATCCCAACTGGTTGTCACAACCAGGGGCGGACCTAGGGCAAGGGGAGGGGTGTCGTCCGACACCCCTCCGCCCGAAAATTTTGTGAAGGACCTCCATTTTTTAAGTACAAATTTTTTTAATTTGGAACTTCCGACACCGCTCTAATAATTATAAGCGACACACTTTCATTATATGACAATAGTTTTAATGTTATAAAGTTATTCATCATAATTAATAATTAACCATAATAAGTAAAATCAAATAAGCATGCTTGTTTTAAGTAACCCACAACCCAATTTAACTTGTCGATTTACAATTAATAGGTGAATTGCGTATATTTATGGGAAATTGTGGTTTGATTTTGGTTAATTTGATAGAATTAGAGAAAAAATGCTAATGATATTACTTTAGGCATACTTTGTTTTTTCTAAAATTGCCGATTGGTAGCAAACTAATTTATTTTAACTTAATTTGATTTTAGACGTATGTCGATTCTCTTTGGTTGAGTGACTAATTTATGAATGATTATGTAGTTGTGTATATAGAAAAATGTTTGATTTGCATCATAAACGATGAATATATTTAAAAAAAAACTCAGGATATGAAAAATCATCATAATTCGTAGTAAACATGATGTTGTGAACTTATAACTGAATTTCCAGTAATTTCTATTAAATTTTTATTTAATTATTTTATTTATTATAATTTTTTATCGGCGACACCCCTCTTCAATAATCCTGGGTCCGCCACTGGTCACAACGTTGTATATTATGCCCATCAAGACCAGAATATAAATTTTATATTTTGTCACTAAACTATTTGAGTGTTCACAAATAACATGAAAATACAACAACTTTTTAAAATATAATTTCATAATTTTGACTCAAGTCTTTGTCGATAAAATATGCACACTGAACTAGTTAATCGATGAAATTTTTATCTACTGACTAAAACAATTAATTAACAATAAAGTAGTATCGATATTTAAGGTCTCGATGTTGAACATTTTTGTTTCAAAATAAATTATAAAACAATTATAATAGACAATTATCGATATCAATACCCATATCAATACTAGTTTACCTCGAAGTTCCCTAAAAAATGTGTTTACACCCTAGGGCATCCCTTACTGGTGTCTATGAGATATTAGTTTTTCAATATTCATATCCGTCTGGAACTAAGCATGAATCAAGTTGGGTATGATACTCGTGCAGTTATACTATTGGTATTCAAAATAAAAGTTTCGGATTTGAATCTTTTAACTAGCACGTCATAAGTAAAATTAATCAATCTCGCCTTTATAAATATAAATAAAAGAGAAGAAATACAAGTGCATATTGATGCAAATCAAAATAAAAAAGACTTAGTATATAGCAGGGTGCACTGTCAAAAATAGTACTTATTCACCGTATTCCCACGTTACTATAGATCGGATAATACCCACTAAGAATAGGTAGGATAGATCTACAACTTAGAATTGCAACACCCCTAAATATCTTGTTGGCTGTTTTCAAAATTTTCTTGACCTTTATAATTAAGTTGTTAAATAACGTAGAAACCCAAAATATTTGAGCCCACCGCAACAAGAATTTGAAAAGGGGCCGGGCTGAAGCTTGATTTTCTCGTAGTGTATGTATGTGTGTGTGTCTGTGTGACAAAATCGGGGTTTACCTACTCGTTGGCAGTTAGCCGTGCATGGTTGACATTGGCGCCTCGATGGATCATTCGGAGAAGAAAATATCCAACGCAACGCAACTCCTCATATTTGTCGTCAAGCTGTCACTGTCGTTCCTCATTTCACTAGAATTACCTGCTAATTTCGTGTACAAATCTGGTTTAAGACGAATTAAGAAGGTCTTTCCATCAAAGATTAAAAAAGACGACCAAGGTCTTTTCTTTCCGTTATCAGATCCGCGCGCGTTATAATCCGGTTACGTAGGTGACCCCTGCATGTCGCATAATTAGTTTCTGACGAAGATTTTAAACCCTAATAAAACCCAGAGCGATAAAAACACATGGCAGAATTAAACAATTAAGCCAAAAAACCCGATGGTCATGGCGCCTTTCGAGCTCAATTCCACTACCCATTTCGTCGCTTCATCTGACTCCACCACGATCGACATCTACGAGCTGACGACGTCAAAAGATTCACCACCGTCAGCAGTCAAAGCCACCGACTGGAAGATTTTAGCAACCGCCGCGGTCACTAGCCACCACCAGCCGGAAGATCAACACGACGCCCTGAAACTCTTCGACGAGGTGATCACAGGTCGGAACCTGAGGAATCTGGCGGAAGACCTCTCCCAGTTTCATTTCTACGTCAACCCGCTCGGCAACACCTTCATAGACGTCTCCGCCGGCGGCGGCCAGTTCGGAGTCCAGTTCTTCAGATTGAACGACACCTTCAACTGGTCCCAATACGGCGCTTTTAATCCCCCGCCGGCGGAGGCCAAACTATGGCACACCCGCCACGGCTTCAGCAACGGCGACACTGTGGTGGATTACAAGAAGCAGTTGAAGGCAAAGGACGAGAAGTTGGTGGAACTGAAGACGGAACTGAGATCCAAAACCGCAGATCTGGAATCGGAAAAGAGAGAGCTGGACAAGTACCGCAAGTGGTGCTCCGATTTCAGGTACCGGTACCGCGACACGATCTCGACGTCCGAGTCGCCGGCGAAGATCTGGCGGAGGAGGGTGAAGGTAGCGAGGTCGACGTTCGTGACCCTGTCGCCGCCGGTGGTGCCGACTAGTCCCGTTTCGTGTCGAGTGCCGTCGTTTAAGGAGGAGGCGATCGATGCGTTTTGGCTGCTGGACGAGGACTGCGGCGGTTTGCCTCCCCCGCCGGCGGTGCAGGTGTGGACTGCGGACGGGAAGTTTGATGCTGAGAATTGGTGGTGTATTAAGGCGAATCGGAGGGTGCAAGGTGGTGGGGAGACGACGATGCTGGTGTATTACGACGGCAAGTTTGATTATGCGGAGTTTTATAATCCGATGACTTCCCGGCGGGAGAGGGTTCCGGTGCCGTATAAGGTGAAGGATGGGGTGTTGGGGGCTAATAGGAATTTTAGCATCGGTTACTTCTCGTTTACCTGGGAGGTTAGGGTTGTGTTCACTTACCGCTGGTAAATAAATGCCCTTAATTAGTTTATGTGGGGATGGGCTAATGCTAGTTATCGTCTAAATGTTTGTTTTTTTCTTGGATTGTTGTACACTACTTTAGTTACCAATTCGTTTGTCGAAATGTCATTTAAATATATAGTAATCACAACATTAATTTGAATTTTTGAAATTATTTGAAATGCAAAATTTTAAAGAAATTAAGATGACATCATAATTAATTTTCAATTTTAAAATTATAAAACCTTTCAGCAATAATTGTACATTGCATTTTTTTAATGACTATGAGAATTATCACTTGTGGATTGCAAATCATGACCTATCTAGTTAATAATCCAGTCAATTAAGTTGTTTGTGGTTAAAAAGAAAATTTACATAAAAGAAGAATTTTAGTGACAAAATGTTTTATAAACAGGAAAAAACATAATCACAATATTTAACCAATATTTGTTTATCTTGATAAGAGACATAATACATGTATATTAATACGAGTGAGTGAATCATAATAGATGAGGAACTTTCTAAAGATTATAAAACAACCAAAAAAATTGACTACATAAATGAAGACTTTAGGGTATATATTATGTAATTAATTTGAATAACGCATGAAACCACAAAATATGATTTCAAGGAAAATGAAATCAGAAATCAATTAGAAGAGGACACCCAACATCTGACACGACACGAATCAGGAAGAAGAAATTAAATCGTTTAACATGCAAAAAAAAAAACACCGATCGCATTTACTTCGCCATGCACTGATAGCAGACCAATGATTTCAAAGAGGTCAGGGATACATTTGAAGACCAGCTTATAACATTTTGAAGACCACCTTATAGCATTTTACTTCCGTTGTCCAAATCAAGATGTGGTTTATTATAATTACAGTTAGAGCCCACATATTGTCGTTGTTTCTAAGTCTGCGCCCATTGAGGAGTAGCTACCAAGGAAGTTCCCGTATAAATTAAAGCATGAGAATCTCTACCATCTATTAGTGTGTCTGTTAGAATTTTCAGGAGCAATAATTGTGACTCAACAAACAGTCTAAAGTTCATTAGACGTGACTCAACTTATTTCCTTGGGATCTGTTGTTCTGTATAGCTGTTTGTAGCTCTATATAAACAGGAGCATAAGAGTGTTGGATAGCTCATTCAAACTCCAACCTCTCTCCCTTTCCCAGACCTTGAGGAAAAAACTCCAAAATATTGATCTTCCACAAAAAAAAAAAAAAAAAAAACAGGAAGAGATCGAGTGCCAAGAGAGAGGAGCCCCTAAAAACACTTTTGAGTTTTTCAAAAGTCGAGCTTAAAGAAGTGTTTGATCCGACTTCGGCTATTGAAGTATAAAAGCACTTCTAAAACTCGGGCTAAATATAGTCAAAGATAAACTGATCTTTATCACCGCTACACAAAAACAAATTGTGAGTTTTATTGATATTGTATAACATTTTTCTCATGTTATATAATAATTCCGAGTCTTGCTCATGTAATATAACAATCATGAATTTTACTCATATTATATAACATTTTACTCATGTTATATAATAATTCCGAATCTTACTCATATATCATATTATATAACATTTTACTAATGTATCATGGGTTATGGGTTAGCTAACTTGGAGCCGGATCTGAAGGCGTATTGCCTGTGCTGACAACCCCGACCAAGGACCAACAGTTTTGGAAGCACGAGTAGACAAAGCACGGGATTTGTGGTCTGCCAAAACAGGAGCAATATTTTGGTAGAGTGTGTATCCATTCATTCCACTATTTAATTTGCAGTGTACAAAGAGCGTGTGTCCATACGTTTGCAGGGAGTTGGACTAACGGCAGAAATGAAGGAAGGGCAAGCCCGCGTGAAGAAAGAGTTGCGGGAATTCTGCAGTACACACACTCTTTGTACACACGCTCTTCTGCTCTCCTGCTTCTCGGGCTACCCTGCTTCCGTCGGCGACTGCTTTTCGAACAGTACTCGACCCACAGGAACAACATAGCGCCAACAACGACATCATCCCACCGCTTACGATCCGACAAACGAGGTGAAGCTGATGTACCTAGTGGTGCAGTGAGGAGCTGATTTCACCATCCACGGCCTCTGGCCGCTTCGTGGCCCTCCCAAGTACTCAGCTGTCCCCACCAAACACTACAAACCAGGAAGCAAAAAATTTGACATGTCAAAGGTATATGTATACGTGTACATACGTACTGTATCTATTATATAAGGAGCCACGACAGTCCCCTACCCGAAGGAGGTTTTCTGGTGCGTCAACTCATAAGCCACTCAACTCGTGAGCTGCTCAACCAAGTCTCCGTTAACTGCTTGTCCAAAAGATAGTGATCCGATCAAGCTGTTGGAAATAAAATAATTATTTCCTCTACTTATATGGTAGGCACGTTTGTTTGGATTGAAGGAAGGCTTTGTTTTTTTTTTTTTTTAATTGGAGGAATGAATGTGATTGGCAAACGAAAAATAGAGAAGTGTGTAGGCGGGAAAGAGAGCTAGGGAAGAGTGGGTATTTCTTGTATTTCTTGCTCTTATTTGCTTCTCTGCTTTCATTCTTACAACACACAAGCCTATTTATACTATCATTCCAAGACTCTTCCACCGCCATTAGGAATTCTCTAGGCTGCCCTATTAGTGTGAGCTACTGAAACATGAGAGTTACATTATTTTGGGTAGTTGGCGGGTAGGATATTTGTTTCTTCAACTACTCCAGATAGCTTTGTGGACATGTCCATAGAGCTCTAAATATTTTTAATTAAACTTTATTAATTTCAACACAGGCTTCTTGCCGCTCCTCCCATCTAATGTCACGCCCTCCAACTGACACATGCCACCAGTACTACCTTCTTACATATTACATAATATGGTTTTGTCGAGTTGATGGCAGCCTGATTTGAGCTTTCCTTAGATGTGTACATAACTTGGTCGATTAAGTTTGACTTGCTGAAGCTATCACCTCACAGTCCTCTGCTGGGAGCTTGCTGGGCCAAGACAAAACCTTCTGTTGTAATAAATGAACTACTACTCCAGTTTCATACTGGCTTATTAGGGGCCTGTTGATCCATCAATATTCCCATTCAATTTCATTCTGCAACAGGTCTTGAGACTCTTAAGACGAACAAACGATGTCAATTGCGATGACAATAATATTATTACAATAATAATAATACAAGTTCAACCTGCCACTGTTCTAAACATGCTATAGCGTCCCCAACTGGTCAGGATGTCAAGGGCACCATCATCGACGATAGGCTGGCAACCAACAAGTCTAGGTTCAATCTTTTCAAGAATGGATTAGAATTATGGCATTATCCTCCATTCATCTCGAGATAATTCATTGGCAAACCTATCAGATACAATGATATAGACAAACAATTTCTTCAAGCTTGACGAGATACATACTTTGAAGTACTTTTACTCTCCTGTTTGGCTTACAAAAATTTGCTTGATCTAAGCTACGAGATCCTCCTCGTCCTCGAAACTCAAATTCAAAGTCTGCAACTTGAAACCTGAACCTTGTATGAGCTCCACAAGACTAGACGCCACTCCTGTTGCTTGCACTGTGGTTTGCTTTGTTAACTGAATTGAATTCAGAAAACCAAAGTGTCATCATTCAAAAACAGATTAGCCATTGACAATGAATGAATAAAACCTACATTTGTCCTTGCAATTCATAAAGGGAACCATCTGTAACATTTCTCCCTAAAAATACTTCTAGCAATCGATGTGGAGTATGTTATGCAGCAAAAGGTATAGATTCAGACCTGGACACTGGCAATACCCTCGAGCACTTGAACCTTTAATCTTCCAACGCCTTCAGTCCCCTGCATAATAAAGAAGTGATCAAGATTCAATGACCAAGAAATCAAATATATGGGACTGAAGTAAACAATCAACAAAGAAAGAAGCTCATGTTATCAAACACTTGCTATACTCCAGACTCGAGAGGAACTAAAAAGTGTCCCTTCCTTCAGTTTGTATACAGCATATGCAAGTATAAGAGATGAATTCAAACGTCTTGTAGTCTAGTTCAACCAAATTCTCATCCCATTCATTATTATTCCTTATAGAGATTAAGAAAAACTCTAACTAGCTGACAATTGATTCCATCATATCAGAAAATATACAGAAGAGACTGCATGGAAGGATTTAGCTTGGACGCCCGGATTATCTTCAATTAAGAATTGGATTTTAACTACTAGAACATTATCTTCAATCTAGAATGAATTGATAAATGTACAGAGATAATGACGAAGTTGTGCAGTTAGTTACCTCTAAAGCCCTGGTCACTGCGGGAATAGCTGCGTCGCTCATGGTTCCCTCCGCCTACAGTTACCCAAAAACATCTCTCATCAAGAATGCACTCCATATTGAATCAAAAAGCAATGAGCAATGTACTTCGCATGAACACAAGAAAACAAACAAAAACACAGCTCACAAACCCTAGTGAAATGTTCAGTCTTGCACCCTGAACCGAAACTTGAGAAGCTAAAAAGAGAAAGCGTCGAACTTTCTTACATCGAAGTACATGGTAAGAGTGTCGGAAGGAGAGACGGGGACGGACACGGTCTGCTGTTCAGCAGCAGCGTCTTCCTGGGTTGCGACGGGCTCTTCTTGCTCTGGGATTAAGGTATCCTGCTCAGCTGACCTCAATCTTAAGGAGCCGCGGGAATTCCCACTCTTCAGCACGACGGCGTTGAAAGAAATGCAGAGTTGATGGCTTCGGAAGTGGACGGCAGTTGGAAGGGGTAAAGACTTGGAAGGCCGAATCCAGTGAGAATTGGGAGTAGATATGGAGGGCAGAGTCGAGGATGAAGCAGCGAATGTCGCCATTGTCTAGTGATTGAATTCAATTCCCACAGAGCTTTTGGCCTTTCGACACTTCCCACTCTACTTTATCCAATTCATCCACAAAACTGGATGCTTTCCAGAAAACAAAGGGGTCAATTACTAAACGGTCACTGAACTTCGTATCACTAACAAATCACCCACTGAATTTTGCTTCTTAAAGAACTTGTCACTAACAACTAACAAGTAAACTAGGAACAAAAAAGAGTAACAATCTTTTTGCCAGGCTCTTCGTTTAAATTGTGTCGACACTAGTGTGTTGAATTATTGATACACCAAATCAGTAATAGATAAGTAATCGGAAACCCTCTAAAACTAAAAGGTGAAGAGCATTATGATGGTTTTGGAGAGTGCGGATTAAAATTAAATGATTGATGATGAAAGAGCCTGTTTAAGTTGATTAAATGAAGGATAACTTGATCAAAAATCCCAAAAAGATAAAGAGAATGCATAGTTGTTATGTTAGTTATTTCAAATATGACACAGAGAACATAGTTAATCGACTGATTCTTTAGTGACCCCAAAGTTCAGTGACCATTCCTGTAATACAGCCGAAACGAAAAGGTAGGTTGAGATTTGAGAATGAAGGTATCATAAAGGAGCTTACATCAGAGCCGTCCATTTCAATTACTACAATTACTAACAGGTTAAATTATCAACATTGGAAGCTGAAATGTGATATCTAGCTTCAACAAGCCCAAAAGGTAAGCAAAAACATATAAACAAGTTGCTGCACTGAAGTCATTTCTATCCCTACCCCTTCCTGGCCTGGAGCTGAAATTTTGACCATTTACTCCAACCTCAAATGGTGTCAAACTACTTGGTGATCAAAGCCTCTTGCACTTGCCCATCTGCATAAATGATCACCAACAGAATTTGTCAGACCCAAAAACAAAGCACCAGAGACTCAGAGGAACACCATAAACCACTAAAGACGGAAGATAATAATGATAGGTAACAATGGAGGTGCAAGTTCAAGGGTGGGATATGACTTACCCCTGAGCTGAACAGCCTGGTTTGCTAGTGCATCAGCTTCAGAATTGAATTCCTGGTATAACCAATTGGTTACTCATCATCCTCAAATTCAGACCACATTAACAGTAAACAAACGATTCTAAATCAGCATATATACTTACCCTCAGAATATGTCTGATCTCAAAAGTACGGAACTTGTCCTTGAACGCCTTCGCCTCGTTTCCCAAAGCAATTATGTTCTGGTTTTTTAACTTCCATATGCCCTGAATCTGTCCACACAATCAGACAGTAAGGACTACGAGCATGGCTTGCAGTGCAGTTGAAAATGACTATAACCTCATGCAGATGAATGATATAACAAACCTGCATACAGACAAGATTAGAATCCCCCTGTACACTAATGTCTCTAAACCCTTTTTTGAGTGCTTGCTTCATTCCCAGAATCACACCTCGATATTCAGCAACATTGTTCGTTGCAATCCCCACACCTTCAGAGAAACGCCATACCTGCTCCAAAAAACACCCAGATGAAAATCTGCACAATTTAATTCGAAAAGCAGTCGCCGACGGAAGCAGGAGTAGCCCGAGAAGCAGGAGAGCAGAAGAGCGTGTGTACAAAGAGCGTGTGCACTGCAGAATTCCCGCAACTCTTTCTTCACACGGGCTTGACCTTCCTTCATTTCTGCCGTTAGTCCAACTCCCTGCAAACGTATGGACACACGCTCTTTGTACACTGTAAATTAAATAGTGGAATGAATGGATTTGCCTTACCTACAAAGACCCCGACCCAAACCCCGATGTCGCTCCAAGTATCGACTATGAACGTATTATTCTGCTCAATCCGGCCACCTCGGAGGTAAAGTTGCTCCCCCCTCCCCTGCATCTGCCCTGGTCTGATAACTCATTATGTTGGAGAACCGCTGGCTTCGGGTTCGACCAGCAGACCAATGACTACAAAGTTGTTAGGATTCTTCGTGTGGAAGTGAGACCTACACCTACTGATCACAAAAAACCTTGCTTTCGCATCATGGTTCATGTGTGTGGTATGAGAGACAATTCATGGCGGAAACTCGACGATTCTGTTGGTATGGTGTTGTGGGTGCGTCCATATGTGGGACTAGATGATTCTCAAATCCCACAGTATTGTCCTAGGGTGAGGCTGAGTGGGAGAAAGAGCAAATGTTTCTGGGTAGGAGGGGAGAGTGTATATACAAACGTCTACCAAAGTACCATTACAATTGTTTCGTTTGACATGAGCAGTGAAGGGATTCAGGCCAGCAAAACATTGCCAAATCCCTGCAAGTATGATCGTTATGTCGATGCTCCTGTTGTGTTCATGCTGAAGGATGAGACCATTGCACTCTTTCATTGTCAGAACCGCTTGCCTTGCGCAGGTGGGGATGTCGAACGGATTTTTGAGATATGGGTGTTGCAGCAATATGGCGAAACTGTAGGAGAGTGTTGGTGCAAGTTATTTTCCTTCTCTCCTCCCCTGGGTATGATGAGAAGGCCGAAAGGCCTATCGAAAGATGGGAAAGTGATTTTCAACAGTAATGGTGATCAACTACTTGTCTTGGATCCTATTACTGGCAAAATGTATAATCTGCCAGTTGAAGAAAGATGCTTCTCTGTTACAATGGAAACCTATACTCCGTCGACAAGGCCATTAATCGGAGGTGAAACAAAATAAAAGAATGATGATTAGGGAAACAATAATTTGGAACTTACAACTACTGGTGGCTTTTGTACCTGTTGATTCATCAATTTTGTTATGCATGGTCTTTTTTTTTTATGTTAGTCTGTATAATCAAGGGGTGATGATCACTCCATCTTTCTATAAGGAACAATACTGCTTAGTTATCATGTTCCCTATCAAGTGACATGATCAGTCTCAGTAATAATAAACAAGACCTTTCTGATGAAGGTCGAGTTAAATTTTATTTAGTAAAAAAGACAGCTGCAGAAAAATCAGGGGTTAATTGCATGGTTGGTCACTGAGATTATAAAAAACGTTCATGTTTGGTCACTGAAAATATTTAAATCCAATCTTGGTCACTCAAATTAGTTAAATGGTTCAAGTTTGGTCACTCTCCGTCCAACTCCGTTAAATATGTCTGATGTGGCAGTCAACTCTCAAAGTTGACCGTTAACTCGGTGACGTGGCAATTAAAAAATAATAAATAAAATAAATTTTAATCTTCTACCATTTCCAACTCATTTTTACAATAAAGTAAAATAAAAAAAATAAAAAATTTATTATAAATGGCTTCTACCGTTTGGTCACACGCCCTCACCGCCTTCCTTCTCGCCTCCAATCCGGCTTCAGCCTCCTCCTCCGCCACCGACGACGACGAGGACCTCACCTTCCTCGAAGACTCCTCCTCCTCCTCATCCCAGATCTTCTTCGACAAGTCGAAAGTTCTCTGGTCATGAGCTTTGCTAAAGGTCTTATCCAAACCATTCTCCCCTTTGGCGTGTTTCTTGAATTTCGCCCTCAATTTTCTAACTTTCTCCTTCAACTGAGAAGGCAACACATCCACAGCCACAGACTTTTTGATGAAATCATAGAAAGCCGCTATGTCCTTCAAGGGATCAGCTCCTTTCTTCTCAGCGAACTCGATCAGCCCATTCAACACCACGATTTCATCGTTCTCACCCCATAGCCGCTGGAAGAGCACTCTCGGCGTATGTTTGTTCTTACCGTCGCTGTCCGCGTCGCGTTCCGCCACCTCTTTCTGCCTCTTGGCGTCCTTTGCTTCCTTTTCAGTTTCACTCGCCCTTTTTCTCTCCGGCGTAGATTTTGAGGAAGAGGCAGGAACCGCATGCACTTGAGCTTTAGGCTGGGGCTGGGAAGCGATGGGCTTCACGTTGTGCAGAACGCCAGAGCTCTTCGGTCGCGGATCAGAGTCGGAATCCGTGTCGGAGACGTGCTCGGAGTCGGAATCGGAGCTCTGAACAGCTTGCTTCTTCGGTTGACCTTGTGAATGGGACGTTCTATCCTGCGACGGCAGTTCAGAGGCTTCATAGGCGGAGGAAGTATCATCATCTTCTTCGGAAGAAGCAGGAGATGGAAGGTCTTTCGTCGGATTCGACCGCTTGGGAGATTCCGCAGCCATGATTCCGCAGTGGTTGCCTAGGGTTCGGAGATTGGGGGAATAGTTTACCGCTCGCTTCCTTGATTTACCGAACAAGCGATACAGGAGAATCATCCCGAGCAGAGATGCGAGCAGAGCCCCCAAAAAAATCGCGCCGCCTTCCATCCTCGCAGCCGTCATTGCGGAACCGAGACGGCAGCAACAATGGCGTCGATGCTCGGTAGCAGCAGAAGAAACAGAAATTGGATAGAAGGTTCTCGAATCTCCCTTGTTTCTATTCTTGCTCTGCTTCCCCGGCGAAGCGAGACGGGAGAAGAGGAGGTGATGGTTGGGGCGGGTGGAGGAGAATTGATAGGCGGCGGAGGTAGCGACGGCAGCGCGCGTCGGCAGCGAATTGGTTGGGAGGGTGGGAAGGAGTTGGGTTTTATGGAGAGGAGGTACTGATCTGGGTGTGTAGGGCTTTGAATGTGACGGTGGTGGTGGCAGTGAATGCTCGACCCCGAGCCTTTATGGAGTCGTCTTCGAGGAAGGTGAGGTCCTCGTCGTCGTCGGTGGCGGAGGAGGAGGCTGAAGCCGGATTGGAGGCGAGAAGGAAGGCGGTGAGGGCGTGTGACCAAACGGTAGAAGCCATTTATAATAATTTATTTATTTTTTTATTTTACTTTATTGTGAAAATGAGTTGGAAATGGTAGAAGATTAAAATTTATTTTATTTATTATTTTTTAATTGCCACGTCACCGAGTTAACGGTCAACTTTGAGAGTTGACTGCCACATCAGACATATTTAACGGAGTTGGACGGAGAGTGACCAAACTTGAACCATTTAACTAATTTGAGTGACCAAGATTGGATTTAAATATTTTCAGTGACCAAACATGAACGTTTTTTGTAATCTCAGTGACCAACCATGCAATTAACCCGAAAAATCAGCAACAAAATTCAAGCATAACCCACCAAAAGGGAACATAGTGACCAATTCATAAAACTACTTTTGTTATGACTTATGAGAGGTAACAAGGGGAGGAGACATGGCATGCTGGGCAAGCAAAGCAAAGCAAAAATAAAAGTCCTGCCTTTTCCATCTGAGTAAATGCAAACAGTGAGGGAAGAAAAAGAAATAAGGCCAGGATGGGATTGAAATAATTTGATCTGGTTTTTCTTAAAATTGTTTAAGAAACAATTGGTTTTCAATTTTATTTTTGTCCAAAATTGAAATCGGAAACCGAGTTAATCATATTTGGTTTAAGGATATTTTCTCACCCAAACCTTGCAAAATGAAAGATGTTATAAATTATAATTTCTCAGATGATTCGATTCGGGGCAAATTTCAATACTTTTGTAAGGATCTTTATTGATGAATCTGGCGAAGGAATGGAACGAAGAAGAAGATACAGAAGAAGGGAAAGAGTTCTGGAATTCTAGCTAACTAAACTGAAAGAGTAAAGTAGATACAGTTTGTTTATTGGGTAAAAGATGACCACAGTAAAGAAGGCCTTCCTATTTATACTGAATGGCTCTCTGTCCACGTCACTACCAGTGTCTTCCGGGTTGTTACAAACCCTCTCCCTTGAAAAACAGCTTGTCCTCAAGCTGTAGCTAAGCCAAGACCTGAGCTGGAGCAAGCTTCAAGGAGTTGTCCTATCCTGGCAGTTGCAAGGCAGCTTGAGGAACGGTAGACCACCTGCAACTACTTGTCCATTCAGTAGTCACCCCTAGTACACGGAGCCAAAACCTCCCCTTCCAAGCTTGTTAGCGGGAGAGAAATTGTTGGTAGCAGCTCGAATGTCATTGAGGTTGAAGAATGGCAACTCGGGGTATACTGAATGACCCTCCATTTCCTCCCCACCCACAGAATCCTTGAAGTGGTTGAACCATCAATTGGACGGAACAAATATCTGGTCCTTCTTTTCTTTACCGATCTGATTTGCCGCTTCCTGAGCCAGAAGAAGGCAAACACAAAAACACGAAGCCCTGCTGAACCAATAGATGACATAAGAATGCTCAACTTCAACTCAAGTGAATCGTTAAATCCCCCTTGAAACTTAGCAAATTCCACTGCCTCAACTCGAACATACAAATCCTGGAAACTAGTAGGGAAATACACTATATCCACCGGTTCTCCATACCACAACAAGCAACCATTGTCATTCAGAGCAACATCTATTTCAATATATGCAGAACCTGAACAGTTCTTCCTGCACTTACGTTCGCAGCTCAGTTCCCCGCTATCATCCTTCCCAATCCAAACTGCCCCTGAACTATCAACCCACAAGAATCCTCTCCCAGTTAGTAGAAAGGACAAGTAGTGCTCAGTCAAAGAAAGCTGGGCTTGTAGATCATCCAACACGGTATCATTAGAGCTCTGTGTAAGCTTCATGAACGGTAGAAGATTAGGACTCAGTATCACAGCCAACTTGCAGAAACTCTCGAAATTCATGAAGTTCAGTTCTGGATGCTGATTCCTGTGATAGTACTTGTACAGCAACACAACCGCATGAATCTGTTTGACTATGATTTCTTCATAAGCTAGAGACGGTGTGAATCCGGATCTAGATTTTGCCAGCAGCTTGAGGTCAACCAGACTTCCACACAGTGCAAGAATGGCCTTCTTGGTCTGGCAAACTTCAGTTCCCTCCATATTCCATACACAGCGACACTCACCCTGTCCAGAGTCTTTCGCCAGGCTCTTAATCAAGCCCAGAAGCTGCTTGAACGCCAATGCTTCGTGAAGCCAAGCGGTGTAGGGTCCTTGCAAGCTAAGAACATGGCCTCTCCACTTAGAATAAACCCAAGAGTAACACAAACAGATTTCAACACCAGAATGGAAGACCTCCCATGAGTTCACAGTGACATCCCAAGGTCGAGACATACAAGCGATTGATCGATAATCACAGTCCTTATAAGGGCCTTTGAAATAAGGAGGATTCCTACTTCCATGGAAATGCTTAAGGATGCCATAGTAAGTTGGGAAGACCCGAAACTCAGAACCCCAACTGGCATTGCTGGACACGATAGGGTAAGGAAAGAACCGAAAAACAAACATAGTAGGACAAGGATCACACAAAATGAAAGCTGCCTCTTCAAAAGTAAGAATCTGATCAATGACCACTGCAAAAATCATCTCCTGGTTAAGATTACCAGCAGAGGAATCAAAAACGACACTATTAATCCAAGGCATGCTTTTAGTAGTAGTGAGATGGGAAACCCCAAAGCTTGCTTGCAGAGGCCCGTGAGATGACTTCGCTGCTTGCGTATCTGAACTATTCTTGTGAGCCACAGTACTGGCAAACGAAGAGCCTGAACTCCCAACGCCAATATTAACAGTAGAAGAAACTGCTGCCGACCCCATTACAGGAGATGAATTCCGTTCAAGATTGTGGACTAGGGTGGCACTTGTCTCGCCATTCTCACACAACCTAACCCATTCCGCCCGGTCGTCGCAGAGGAAGAAAGGAATATCTGATTTAGGAAGTAGTGGTTGATCGGTACCTGGAAGTGGAGGTAGATGGGAAGCCCCCAGCTCTGCATTAGGTTGCCGGAATTGATAGAACTCAGCCACCATATTCAGCTGTTCGTGATTCCCAAATTGATGGATCAGCTCGTCGACGAATTGCCTCCAAACCAACGGAAAGCGCCCGAAAGACCACTCCTCGAACCATGTACGAGCTCTCCCTTCCAGATAGTACGAAACCAAGTCGACCTTCTGCTCCTCCGGAATTGAGTAGAGCAGAAAAAACTTGGAGCACTTGCTTACCCATTCATGAGGACCAGTTCCAGAAAAGTAAGAGAACTCAAGTCGAGGATAATGATCCAGCAACGTCGGACGCAGCTGCGGCAGGCGGAAGTGGTGGTGCTCGGAGAGATGGCTGTGATTCCCGTTCGGCGGGGAACGGATCGAAGATTTCTCTCGGAGGTGCGTCAAGGAAGCAGTGATGGCGGTGATGCTCTCTCCCGTTGGAGAAGGAACCTGGGGGTCTGTGGCCGAATCATGCTGCACGGAGAAGGGGGGAAAAGGAACCCACACATGAGGATCCCGAATCGACGGTTGCGGCGATGACGGACGGAACTGCCGTTGCTCAGCGAACTGATTGGGATTCTCATGCCATGAAGAACGGACCGGAGAATTGGTCCGCCGCTGCTCTAACGAAGCAGTGAGGGTGTCGATTTTGGCCTTCGTCGAAGCAGCCAGCGCGGCAATGGCGTCCTTCAGCTCCTGGTGTTGAGAAGCCATCTTGAGCTGAACAGCCGCCATTTGTGTCTCCAAATCAACGATTCTCGCTGTATTAGTCGCCATTGGTGCCAGATGACAGGCTCTGATTACCACTTGTAAGGATCTTTATTGATGAATCTGGCGAAGGAATGGAACGAAGAAGAAGATACAGAAGAAGGGAAAGAGTTCTGGAATTCTAGCTAACTAAACTGAAAGAGTAAAGTAGATACAGTTTGTTTATTGGGTAAAAGATGACCACAGTAAAGAAGGCCTTCCTATTTATACTGAATGGCTCTCTGTCCACGTCACTACCAGTGTCTTCCGGGTTGTTACAACTTTCTATGCTAAATCTATGAGAAGAGCTTGCAAAATGAAAAATGTTATAAATTATAATTACTATTATTGATACATTGAATAAAATTACATTGTACAAACTCAATTTGAATCTAATTAACCGTTCAAATCACAAAACAAAACCAAAAAAAGTTTTCCTATCTGTTGTGTCTTTTCTTTCCACTCATCATATATGACCCCAACCTAATCCAGACCATTTGATCTCGATTCCACTCAACCATCCCCTACTCCACTTCATCAAATCATTCATTTCGTATAAGCACAAAAAAACCTTGGCTTACAACCCGCCCGGTCCAAAACGAAATCAATCAATTAAATTCACAACCCACAATTCCCTCTGTTTTCAGCTAACTTGCTCACCAATCAAGTCCAACCCAACAACGAGAAATGACAGCCCTTGGAACAGCAAGAAGTAGAAGTGAACTCCGTGAGCCGACAACAAGCTCCTGGCAGCTGCCGTGAGAAGCAAGAAAGCCAGCCCGAGCTCCTTTTTGTACAACCTGTTCTTCTTCTTCTTCGGCGCCCCAGCCACCTCGGCTTCCACTTCCTTGAGCTTGCTCAGCAGCTCCAGGCCGGACTCCGAGTGCCTCCTCAACATTGTCGTTTTCTCCTCGCCCACCGTGGCAGGAGCCAACTTCGATTCCCTCTCGGCCAGGGCTAGCAGGTCCGACTCCGATGACCGACCGGTTTTCTTGGTGACGACCCACTCGTAGGAGCTACCGAGCTGGAACAGGCCCGAGACCATGGCGTTGAACTTCGTGACCGACATTGTGTTCTCGAAGAGGAGGTAGGGGACAAGGAAGGGGAAGGATTTGGGGGATGGGAGGATGTTGAGGAATGACATGAAAATTGGGACGTAGCAGATTACCCAGAGTGGCAGCTCTGCCTCTGGGATGAACATGGTTAGTGGGAGTATGATGCAGAATAGAGTGAAGGAGTAGAAGGGCAGGATTAGTTTTCTTAGTAGGAAGAAGAGGAAGATCAAGTTGGCCTTCTTCCACATTGATATCTGCAAACAACAACAACAACAAAAAAAGATTATGACTTGACAATGATTGAGCTGAAATTTAACTACAAGAGAAAAAAAGTGTTACATCAATCTAACAATTCGATTTACTGTGACGAATTGGGTTTGATATAGTTTAAACGTCTTCGAGAGTCGAAAGATTCAATGTTGGAACCCTAGTATATATCCTCTACCAATGACAATGAACTTAAGTGCAAAGTAATGGGGATGCAACCGACCTTGGATTTGAGAATGGCAGGGAGGCACAGGCGGAAGAGCTGCATAGGCCCAGAATGCCAACGATGCTGTTGCTTCTTGTAAGCTTCATACGACTCCGGTAATTCACAGAGAACCTTGACATCATTGAGGTACACGAACTTCCACCCATTCAAGTGAGCTCTTACTGCAATATCCATGTCCTCTACCGTCGTTCTCTCAAGCCAACCGCCGGAATCCTCCAACGCCTTGATCCTCCACACCCCTGCAGTCCCATTGAACCCGAAGAAGTTCAAGAACATGCCGTTCACCTGCTGCTCCACCTCGAAGTGGAAGCACAAGTTAACGTTCTGTAGCCTCGACAACAAGTTCTCGTCTTTGTTCACGAATGACCACCGAGCTTGTACCAAACCCACCTCTGGCTTCCCCTGCAATAAAAAAAACCCAACCCACTTAACGTTATGAGACTAGCTAAATAGGGTCAAATTAGAATTCTCATGATTTTTCATTTGGTTTAATACTACCGGATGGTATGAACATTGAGAAAAAAGAGAACTGTGACACACTTCTATATCACAATTGTAACATTTTTATGTTAGTGACATCTCAGTGTTCAAATGTTTATAAGTCCGTCAAAATGACGTTTAAAAAAGTCTATCGAAATGGGATCAAATTAAAGGTTCGAACTTTATCAAAAATGACAATTCTAGCAGAAAATCCTTGAAATGATACTTGATGCATAGTATTATGATAACATTTATAGCATCTCATATTTAGCTGACCATTAAAATTTAAAAAACTCATTTGCATCTAGCATAATCGTATACTAACTAGAGATTCTTGGTTTATACAATTGAATGTGAAATGGCACAAATATCAACAGTACATAAATGGTGATATCCATAAATGTCAATTTGAAAAGTTGGTGAAGAAAATAACGATATAAGTAGGTGGTTAGTTACCTTAAAGTGAGGGATCGTGAGTTGGAGGAAATCTGGGTTGGGCTGGAAATCCGCATCCAAAATGGCAACGAATTCGTAGTCCTGAAC